GAGAGCCGTGCAGCGTGGCCAAAAAAAAAAAAGAGAAAAGAGAAACGTCTAAACCAGGTGTTGGCAAACATTTTCTTTAAAGGTCAAGAGAGTAAATATTTTAAGCTTTGTGGCACTTACAGTCTGCAGTTACTCAACTCAGCCACTGTAACACAAAAAGTAACAGGGTACCCATTCTTAGGCAAAGGAATTCTTGTTATAGGGGCCCAGGAACTCTGGTGATAGTCCAACATTGTCAATGACCAAGATAAACAGACCCATCTACCTTTACCTCTGCCACAGAGATTATTTCTTTACAGCCAGATCTTTTATCCTTGGCAGCGAAAGGGTTCATTTCCTAGAATCCAGATTTCTTACAGATATATTATAAACCGAGATAAAAACAGGGTCTTTGTATAGAATCACATCCAGCCATCTTCAAGCTTCAGTCACTAAGAACCCAGCGAATCTAGAGGTGGAACCTTAGGCATCTGACAGTCATAAGAAATGGATGACTTGACCTTCCTTATGTAGATTAGGCTGACTCACCTAGGCTCACCAGTTCTTGGGGTGTTAGTAAGTTTGTACCCTTTCTGCAGAGAACTTTCTGCACAGAAATTTCCCACACCCCTTCTGAGCAGAACTCCAGAGTTAACCCCAGATGAGGGGATAAAAACCTTGCACAAGAGTTGCAGAGTAGAGCTGGGCATTGTAAATAGCAGCCTAAGGATCTAAATCCCCTGCAGGCAGATTCAGACAGGAGTCAGTCTTACAGGTAGCTAAACTGAAAATATGGACTTTTAATTGAAATGGTGATTAATTATAAGGGTCTCACAGAAGAGAGGAGGTTCCAATTTTCTGTTTGGTTTAACAGATTAGAATTCATTCATTCACCCATGAATTCACTTTTCATTCATCAGATATTTAAGTGTTAATAAGCACTAGGCAATGAAGAAACAAAACAAGGCCCGGTACCTGCTGTCACAACTTGTCTTGTGGTAGAATAGCGACGGAGAAGTAAACAGGCAATTACAGTCTCCTACTATAGACAGTGTGTTGAGTGAGAGCAAGGAAATCTAAACCAGACTTGAACACACGGCAATTTAGAGTGGGGGGAAAACATGTATTTTACCGCAATTAAAACAAGCTATGCTGAGACACCATTTTTCAACACAAGATTGGTAAAAATCAACAAGGTTGACAGCCCACCATGTGGTTACACCATGTGTACCAAATGAGCAATGTCAGAGAGAAATAGGCACTCCTATCCATTTCCACCAGGGCAAATGGTACCTAGCAAAAATATAAATGCACCAGAGCCTTTGACCCAGCAATTCAACTTCTAGGAATTATCCTAGATACAGGTCACGTGCAATGTATTGTACAAGGTTATTTACTGCAGCATTATAATAGTAATTAGAAACAACCCTCATATCCATTCGTAGGGAACTGATTCAATTCCTGTCACTCTTTGCTCAAAAACTCTCCAAGGAAAACAGCGAGTCCCTCCCAAAGGACACAAAGTCCTCCATGATCTATATCCTACATCCCCTCCCTTCCTATGCCATCTCTTCCCACTCTCCCCTCCGTTCACTTCCTACTGGCTTCCTTACCCTCCAACAGCTCAGACTACTTTACTTTTGCTCAGTTTGCATGAACTGTGCCCTCAGAAGCTGGTGTAACTTTCTCTCTGGCTCTAATGTTGTTGCTATCAGAGGCCTCCTTAGACCACCCTTTACACAACAGCAACCGATCCCCTATCCTGTTTCATCATTCTCCCTATCAGCTATTACCCACCTGATATTTGTTCATTTTGTCTCTCCAGAACTCCAGCTCCATGAAGATAGTTTGTTCACTTCTATATTCCAAAGCTAGTAGTACCTGGCACACTGAAGGGGCACAAAAGTTTAATGCATAAATTATGCACCATCCAAGCAACTAAATAGTATGCAACTTAAAAAAAAAAAGTGCCATTTTTACTTATATGAAAGATCTCCAAGATATTAAATGAGAAAAACAAGGTGTATGTATTTTGTGTTAAAAGAAAAAAGTTAAGTGGGAATTCCCTGGCGGTCCAGTGGTTAGGACTCGGAGCTTTCACTGCTGGGGTCAAGGTTCAAACCCTGGTCAGGGAACTAATATCCCACAAACCACGCGGAGTGGCTAAAAAAAAATTTTTTTTAAATATTAAAAAAGAGAAAATATCTATGTGTACTCAGGCTATATAACTGACAATGGTTGCCTTTGGGGAGGTAACTGGGCAGCTGAGTCAGGGGTTGGGAGCCTTCTCACTGTATACACATCGAGTATATTACCAAATCAAAAAATGGAAAATAGGTTGGGCCAGCAGCCTGTGGGAAAAGTAAAAAGCATTAGGTTTGAGAAGTGGCCTTGAGGGCTGTGCTCTAGAATTACCCTTCTATCTAGCATGTTTTTCTCATTAAGTCTGGAAAGAAAACAGCTTATTAACTAAGACCAAGAGTTATTTTGTTCTTTTACTTTCTGACTTTTCCATAATGTGGTCTTATTTTAAGGGAACAGTAAGGTGCCTTATTAAAAGCTAGGGCTTTGAAACCATTAAGTAGGAATCAAACTTTTCCTACCTTTTAGCTGGTTAATAGTACAGTATTGTTACCAATCTCCCTGAGCCCATTTCCTCTTGTATGAGATGGGGTTTTTAACAGTATTAATTTGTTGTGAGAATTAAGTGACAATGTCCTTTGACATTTTTTTACTAGAATGGTATCCGTAAACCTATTGTGAAAAAAATTAACAGGCTTTGAAACTGCCTAAAGGTGCTTTTCTTCCCCACCTTTTAGATCTGGATACAACAGCTTTAATACTACCATACCTTAAACCTAGGCATCTTTGTCTCATTTATTTGGCTTGTCACCAGTTCTCACCACCCTCCGAACACTCCAATACCAGCCAGGCCCCGAGTATTTCTTGCTACTTTGACCTTCTTTCCCTTCGTGTCTTCCCAGCTATAAAATTATGCATACATCTTTTAGGCTATACTATGCAGCCCTCCCCTGCAAAGGTCTCCAAGCAATTGTTGCTCACTCAGAGCCAGATCTAATGAATTCTTTGCTCCTGTTCTTCACTGATAACTCATTGCCAACATGTCAGGTTTCAGAGCTTTTAATTCCTACTTAAGCTTAATATATCCTGGAAATCACTGTGTTCCTTTAGACTTTGAGATAGGCTACACAAAGAAAAACACCACAATCCCACACTACCATTCATTTAACCCAAAGTCACAAATTGATGGTATTTCAAGACCCTCTCAAATTTTATTTTGTCCTCAGGAGAGGGGACATGGTAAAATGGTAGGACCACACTTTAACTTGATACTTAGCTTAATTCAAAGCCCAAAGGAGAACTACCAAAGTGAAGTCATGAGTTATGCTTTACCTACCTCTATACCTAAGAAACAGAACCAAGGTAAGGTTCATTGCCCAAAGCACTCAATGTCTGACGTGTTCAATTAGCTACCAATCAATGCCAGGTTAATAATTTAGAAGCAATGAGTTCAGTCCAGCACTTATCAAGTCAATCACAATCAATTTAGCAGTCCCAACCTCTAAACAAAGAAAAGGTGCACTAAACAAATGTATCATTTTAAGATGTATACTAAACACAGGGGTACGGACTTGCAGTCAAGGGTACAAAAGGTGTTGGTCTATACACCCAGTATTCTCTTTCCCGTAAGGGTAAATAGAATTTTCTGTGCTTGTTTCTTAAAATCATTTTTCCCCCTAACCCCTCCTCCATATCATCTTTACATTTCACACTAATCTCTAGGATGCTGCTAGTAATCCATCCCAAAGCTACAGGATGTTTCCTACTCTTGGCTCAGAACTCCCACTTCCAAAAATTGAATATCAGGACTGTTTATTCTCTGCAGATTTATTGTTGAGTAATCTTATCTTTATATAATACAGAACAATTAAAGCTGACCAAGTGCAACAAATAAGCCTGCTGATTACACACATAGCTTTATACCAACCATATAACGCAGCAAGTTGTCAAAATTCCAAAAACAGAACATCCAAACTTCCAACATACTAATGATCATTCAAACCAGTAAATAAATTTGAGGCAGATCAGTATTCCCAAATTGTAAAGTTATCCAATAACTTTGTTTAAAAGCATAAGAAACAGGGCAGACAGCTGTGCCACCAGCATGAAATTTTTTTTGCACCAAAAGCTTGACCAGAAAACTCAAAATTGTTACTGCCCTACGATACTTAAGATATTTAAAGTCCAAATAAAGAATCTACTGGCTCTAACATTCTGAAGTTTACCAGATGCTACCAAAAAATAACTACATGAGGTGTTGCTAAATATAGGTTGGATTTACAAAACTACTTGTCTTTTTTAACATTTCTGATTGACATCTTTAATTACTTTGCACCAGCCTGGCAAAATAAGATAAAGTATGTTGGTGTTCGTGAACTGAAAAACCTAACTTGGGAATTAACAGATCTCTGCTCAGAATAAGGCAATCCATTTGAAGAGACAGAGGAGAATATCTGGGCTGGAAAATTTTGCAAAGCTGGTTTACATGAAGATGTTTTGTCCCCAATTCAGACAATTCTTCAAACATGCAAAAATTTTGGCATAAAACTGATTAATGTTTGAAAACAAAGAAACAAAAGAACATTGAGTATAACTTCCTAGAATGGAGAACTCGAATTTGACACCATCCTATCTAATAGGCTGAAAACCTCAATTAGTTAGTATACTTAAATACGCTTCAGAAAATTCAGTTTCTCCAGCATTAATTCCAGCTACTCTTGCTCAGTTCCTGTTGCGCTCACTTTATAGTAAGTCAGTGGTCCCTACAGCCTGACAAAAGAGATCATTAGCCTGATAACATCTAATAATGCCAACTGCAAGATTAATTTAGGGACTTGTCATGATGCATTCATGCTAAGGGGGACTCACTTGAGTTCTTACCATCTTACCCAAAACTCTTAAGTGTAGAAAGGAATCTTCCAAGTGTATATATACTATTCAGTGATGTTCAAGACTTAAATAACACCATTAAACTTTGAATGTAGGTCTCTATGAATATGCTTAAAATCAAGGTTGACTCCTGAAGCCTACCAAACTGAGGAGCATTAATACTGAACACAAATCCAAAATCTAATTAGAAACATTTTATTTTAAATGTGCCAAATAAAAACCCACATTTTCAAACCATAGGATGTTAATACATTCAACAAAAATTTATATTACCTTACTGCTGTGAATTTACAGAGTAATAGTCCAGATCCATTTTGATTAGATGGTTGAATTACCCTTCCCTAAGTTACACTTTACAGACATCACAAATCCCTTATAATAATGTAAACAAAATAACTTTTCCCTAAAAGGTGAACTTGAGAACTTCAGTCCACTCTTTCAGGACTTGCACTTCTTCGCGGACTTCCTGATGGGGAACGACTAAAAAGAAAAACATTAGGTTTGGAACCAATTAGTGTCTACTGAAACTCTTCTTGCATATATGTCAGGGCAAAACTCAAGTTTCAATAAATTCAAAGGCGGCCAAAAGTAGTAAATTCCTGCAGCAGAAGTCTAAAAAATTACATAAGGCTTAATAGCTTCTTCACGAATATTACAAAATTTAGTTAAAGAGAACAACTACTTGAATTTTGGGGATTTTTTTTTTTTTTTTTGGATCACCTAAGGAACTCTGCATCTAGTATTTTAATATATAGCACCAATTCTCCAAAGAGCTCAAAGCCCGGAAAGCAGGCAGTAAGCAAACAAATTCTGCAGAGGCCACACTTGACAGTTAAGATCTGGCAACGAATTATTTAGCTTACCTTCTTTTTGGAGATGGAGATCTGGACTTCGATCGGCTGTCAAAACATGAGAAATTCTATTAAGAAATTCTATCAAAGAGAAATTCTATTAAGAAAAAGTACTATCCAACCCCTTAAGTCACAATACCACCAAATGAACCCCCAAACTGTCTTGACCTTAAATTGTCCTGCAGTTAAACTGAAAACGAACCTAGCAATTTCTCACTAACAAAAGCTAATCTTATAACACCTGTTCTTCATAAAATAAGTGAACTGCTTTATTTTATCACAAATAATCTTTTACACTCTACTTTAAGCACAATGAACTCAGAATGCTTCTCCATGCATCTATCAATTCTAACACAGCACTTACTATAACCCCAAATTCACCAACTTCTTTTTCACTGTAGCTTGACACACCCTTGTCCAGGAAGTCAGCCAGAAGAGGCCATGTATAAATGAAATACTGAAGTTTGGTTTATTAATAAGGTATTGTGTTCCTACTCAACACCTAAGCTTACAATTAACACTTGAAATTTCAGCAATTCAAAAACACTTTGGATATTGGTGCCATGTAACTAGAAGAGCATCAATGAGATTTTTACCCTACCTGCTTCTTGGTCGTGAAAGAGACCTGGATCTTGATCTCGACCTGGACCGGGATCTTAATAAAAAACAGAAATACAATTATACCAATTAGTCCATAGGAGTAATTTCCTTCAGCAACTACCTGAGTACCTTATTAGGTAGGCTAGGAATAGTGGCTAAAACAGAGCAAGATGCCATGTATCAGTCCAAGACTGGACAAGTAATTGCTTTCGGTAAGTTCTGTCATCAAATAAAGAACCACCTTTTCAATTATCTATCATGAGTTGGGTTGTCACAGTTCCTGTACAGAGGTATATTCATAAACAGTGTACAGTATCCAAAAGAAATATATGGTGTTCATTCGAAAAACTGGTATTTTATCTTAAAAGAATCAAAGCAACCCCCTGAACTGAAACCATTTCTTCAGGTGGTAAGCTCAGTGAAAAGCCATGATTGGGTAAGGCTTTGTTCTTGGATCATCAACGAACTGTCATGGTTCAGGGGCCATCCATTTGTCACACAAACCAAATCAGGCTGACACACATCTTGAGGTCCTACAACCAAGTTAAATGCATTTATCTATAGAGTCCAGAGATTTTTCAATTGGACCACAGGTTTTTGAATCCCTGAACTTATAAAGACGGTGCTATTACTGAATAGTAATAATTCCCAGTAGCATTCCCCACCACTGACACGAGTAGCACTATCAACTCATTATCTAGAATTTTATCCATTTCCATCACCTTTTAAGGTCTTCTACAAAGGAAGTAAAAAATGGGGAGATGCCTAACTTGATTTTTAACTTTTTAAATTTCAGTGTCTAACCCAAATATTTGGTTAAACAGGCCACGTTCATCCATATGTATGTTACCCTAAACAAACTTTCCATGGTCTCAAACTCACCCCCACCATTCCAAAGAGAAACTTTGTTTTAACTTGCTTCTAACTCTATAAATAAATCTCCTCCTGGTTCTAAAGGGTTTCTTACCAGGTATCTGGCAACTATCATCTTCTAGTGCTATTATCATTTACCTATACAACAGATAAAAGCTGACTCCAGAAAAGTTTCCAACATGTTTACCCAGAGTGTTCACTGGAATGATTTGAGGATTTGTGCTTTGGACCCTCCTCTATCACCTCTGTTACAGCCCTTAAAGTCTTTAGTTGGGCTTTTCTTCATCTGGACGTGTACACATTCAACGTTTCCCTGATGCATTCCATGTCAATTAGGTCCTTAAGATACTCCACTGCTGTCATTAAGACGTGACAATCCAAATACAAGTAAGGGGAAAAAAAGGTGCTACATACTGGAAATACCTCGATCCTTTTATAGAACCAGACCTAGATCGTCTGAGTGAAGCTGATCTTGATCTACGAAGAGACACAGATCTTGATCGCCGAGGAGATGCTGATCTTGACCTAAAAATTAAATCAAAGTTGTTTAAGTCCACTTCCAATTAAAGTTTTTTTTTAATCTCTTGTTAAAATTTGAATTAAGCAACATCTCTCACCTCCTTCCCCTGCTCCTGCTGCGAGAGCGAGAGTATCGCCTACCTCTGGATCTTGAATGTGATCTAGACCGTGACCTATTTTTCAAGTCAGAAAAAAGCAAAATGTTAGATGGCAACTCCTTTTTAGAGTTCGTGTGCCTCTGCTGAAATCAAATCTCAAAACTATTTAAACTTAGTGTCTCATTTGGAAATAAACTCTGGGCCTATTAGTTGTCTTTTTTTTTTTTAACTACCTAAAAAAAGATTTGTTAAAAGCTCAATTACATCTTAGAATTACATAATATAAAACACTGTAAGGTGTATTTAAAATAAACCTTGCAAGTTTGCAGGTCGACCCTCTTTGGCCCATGGTCTAGTAGATCTAGACGATCTAGAAGTATCTATAGCCGATCGCTGCATCTAGATGTTTTCTTCAATCTAACGACGATCAAACTGACAGCCAAATGAGCCAGGTGAGGCTTGATTGACGCAAGAAGATTTTTCTAGTTGGGAATGTGGTCAATCTGGTGTTCCTCTTTCTAAACCGGAGGGGGCCCCAATTGTAAGCCAAATTTACTGTTACGGCGATCACCGTCTCAAATTTTCTGCCCTTTAAAGAATAAGGTGAAGCTAGGTGTAGATGACTCGAGGGGATCTGGCCTCTTATGCTGATCACCTCAAGGTCTAGGAGGATCTTAATTGTCGGATTTGCAAGGCGCCTCAGCATGATATCATAAGGCTCGTGACATTCTGAATCAAGGCGACTGACTCAAACGAAGAAACCTGAAAGGTTTTGACCAGGTTGATTATTAATACATTAACATTTAATTAAACAAAAACTGTAAAATACACCTGTACAATTAACATTCAAGTTTATAGAAAAATACTAGTTTCTGCCTTGCTAATAAGAAAATTAACTTGATTAACCAGTACACCAACCACTCCTTTATTAAAATAAATACCTGCTTCTTCTTCGGCGGCTATAGCGGTGACAATCATAAGCATAATGTCCCTTTTCGCCACACTCATAGCATCTATCATTGGGATCAAAGGGACGTCGGGCAGGTGGTCTATCAAAACGAGATCTCCGAGGCATGCCTGTTGATAGTTCAACTCTCACTCGGGAACCACAAATCACTCTATAAAAGAAAAACAACGAAATTCTAATGCTTAAAAAAAAAAACAAAAACACGTGACTCCTATATTTAGAACTTTCCAACCACTCTTTCTTTGCCCTCACAAGCTTCAGCTATACCTTTAGAAGCCTTTCAAACTCCACCTCTGTTCCCCAGTTCTTGTCTTCACAAAATGACTATTTAAAATCTCCTCCAGACAACAGAATCCAAGCTTAGCACAGGAATATTCTCACAAACACTTAAGTTTCATAACCGACATGTTACTTACTTCCCATCCAGGCCTCGCACTGCATCTTCTGCATCTCTAGGATCTTCAAATTCCACAAAGGCAAATCCCGGAGGATTTCTGGCAATCCACACAGTTCTTAAGGGACCATAATAACTGAAAGCCCTTTCTAACTCTCCTTTGCCAGCACCAGTTCCCAGGTTACCAACATACACCTTGGTTTCTGTTTAAAAACGCAAATAGAAAAATGTATGTTATGAAAAAACGGGCTTAAGTTTGAATTCTTTGCCTTAAAAGAGTCCATCCTTAAGACTGCAAAGCATGTTTAACGCTCTCTCAAGGATTGACTTTAGCCTTAAAACCAACAAGTCCGTACATTTCTGAAAAGCTAAGCCTACGACAAAGTTCTTAACGTTCAAATGGTGGAGGTGGAGAGGAACCTCCAAAAAACACAACCACAGCCGCGTGGTAGGACACTCCAAGGCGTGGGGCGGGATCCGCCCCGGCCCCGCCCCCGAGGCCCGGCAGGCCCAGGCGCGCTAGGAGCGCGCGCGGGCCGGCGGCAGCAGCGGCGTCGGCGGCGAGCTGGCCCCGGCGGAAGCCAGACCGGGAGAGCTGGGATGCGCCGGCTCTCATCGTCCGCGGCAACCGCCCCAGGCGCAGGCTCGCCCACGACTCCAGGTCCCCAGCCCCAGAGCATAAATCGCGCTCGAAAGAGCTACGAGAAAAAGACACCAGCCGCCAGACCTAAAGATCATGTTATGTCTCCATTCCCACTCAGCAGTCCGACCGACTGACGAGAACGCGCAGCTCGAAACTGCCACAGTTTTGTTCAGTCTTAAATTCACTCCTCTTACGGCTGCGACCACATCTGTCCGCCAAAGTGGCGGGAAAGCGCCAAGAAAATGCGCCACCATGGTCGTCAATGTGCGCAAAATGGCAGCCGAGGGCGGGGGGGCGTGAGGGACGGGCGGGCGGCTCGAAGAAGGGCAAAACAAAACAGGTATCGAGGGCTGGGCGGGGAGACGAAAATGCCCAAGAATTGATATCAACCCCGGCACAGACCTACCCCAGCCACCTCCTGTCCTCCTTCGATACCCCGCCCCTGCCGTCTCCGGCTTCGTGTGGTGTACGCCGAAGCCGCCATTACGCACGCGGAATAACAGTCTCCCAGCCGCCGCGCCAACCTCACGGCTCTAAAGACTCACTGCACCCACAGCAACGTCCCTCACTGGCCCCTACCCTCTTACCTCCTCCGTACCGCCCGTAACGCGACATGATGACTGGCCTGCGAGCTCGGCTCTTTCAGCTCGCAGCGCCTAGAGATCGATTACTACAAAACCTACAACGCAACAACAGTCGCCAACGGTCCCGGCGGCACTACGAGGAAAAGCCTGGGTTCGCGCTTATATATGAGGCGGCTGGGTTTATTTGCGCATGCGTCATCTCGACGTTCTGCGCGGCACAAAGGAGGAAGGAAACATCCCAGAAGCGGCGCGGAGGAAACTGAAAAGGCTAAGACGCGAATCACTGGCGGAGGGATACGTTCCCATGGCAACGGCAAGGGCTAGCCTGTAAACCCACCCCCTTTCCTTTCCCTGTGTCCTCCTTTTTTTCCTCCCTTCTCCGTCCACGCTTTCGTTTTCCCCAATCTAGGAACTCTCAACCCTGGTAATCTTACTGCAGGTGCACGAGACCGGGTTTATGAAAGGCTGTAAAATTTAACCGCTGATGTTGCAGCCGTCGCCGCCTTTCTGCTGGGGGACCTGGCCTAGACTGCTACTCATTGATCTTCGGGGCTCGTCAGAGGTAATCGGGAGTTCGGCCAGGGTGAGAACTCCATGAAACCCATCGTTGTGAGTAGTGGTCTCTGCACCACAGGCCTCTAAAGGGGTGACGCCCTCAAGGGACCGCCCGCCCTGCACCGACCATCCAGCCACTTCAGAACCAGCCACCAGTGTTCAGCAACACGGCCCGAGTTCTTGGAGTCAGGAGGACAAAGGAATAGAGGGTGTTTTGTCCCCCTGTTATATTGCCCTGAATCCTTAAATCATTTTGGTAGTGGCAATTCTGAAATTATTTGCATTTGAGGCACAGAGTATTTGTGCTTCCTTTCTAGTGCTTTCTGCTTTGTTTTGTAGTACCACATCTCATCCACTAATACTCAGATCCTGAGGACGAGGACTTTGTCTTCTCTGAGTAGCAGCCTTGCTGCTCAGCCACTCTATATATTCAATAAATGAAAATCTTTTCTTTGTTAGAATCGCTTAAAAATCCAGTTTCAACTTTATACAATGTATTTGCCAGATACCAACTCTATAAATACAGATTTAACTTCTTTTTTTTACTATCCATTAAAAAAAAAAGACATTACACTATAAATACTTGGAATACACGAGTTGAAAATATTCCACAAAACAAGGGGAAATTCTTAGGTATTTGTATTTTTATTTTTTTCATCTGCTGTAACTTCATTTGGTAGGTATAGGTGTGGGATACAGAGTATAGGAGAAAGGGGGCTTAGTTAAATAAGTGTGTATTCAGGTAAAGTATGAATTCTCTCAGAGTAATGCTGCGAATTTATAATTTTTTCCATAATTTTTCAAATTATGGAAGAAATTGGTCTATTTCAAGAAAACCTCTAGTAAGAAAATAGAAGTTTATAGTCTGTTATATTTGTTCTCCCTTATTTATTTTCTGTTGTTATCTGCTTAACAGGGTTTTTCTTAAAAGGATTAAAGAATAAAGATCTTTTATATACTCCTTTATATATTCTTTATATAGAAAGAGCATAGGTACAAAGTGTAGGTAACTTATTAAAAGGTAGTGCTTATTATACCGCATACCTCCTCATAGGCCTCAATATTTTTTGGCTCTGAATACAAAGTCTATTGTACAAAAGAGAATTTTTAAGCAAATAATAGTGTAAACAATAAGAAGAGCAATTGTCCAACTTACAACAAACTGATTTCAACACATTAAGGGGAAAAGGGTAAACCTCGACTGGTTTGCCTGCCTCTGTACCTAAGTATTATTTCTCTCTCATTAAAGGAGAGCTGGGCTTAACCAACCTTGTTGCCATGAAAAAATAATAGTACTATATACTACTTTCGTACAGTGTTATACTGAAAACCCTTTCTCTAAGAACGTGTAACCAGTTCTTTTCACTAAATGTCAATCCAATCAGGGAGATTTTTTTGTACAGAGTTCCTGTATTCCTGCT